GGCCCGGTCAACCTACTGATCGGACGTGTCTCTCCCGAGTCAATCTACTCTCCTCTCCGTTGTGCACACAATACATTCTCCCTACTACTCTGGCCCTTAAAGACTTCTCTCCTGCACTAAGTAACCATGGTCTGAAGATCGCATTTGCACGGTTAGACTCACTTAATCCCCTGCGATAGCCCCATCTAGACTCCCACAGGTAGTCACACGGCGGATAGTAAAACAGGCAGAAGGAGATCACTGACAAAAAAAATTATGGAAAATTGGGATTGTCTCTGAGTCGTCGTAGTCAGCCAACCTGCCCCAAACTAGATTTGAAGGCACGTGATCTTCCAACGTAGATGCTTCTATTTATTGAGGGCGACTTAGCTATCCTGAAAATGAGTCACAGATTGGTATTATGAAGGGCTGCACAATGTGGCGGTGAAAGTGAAATAACTAGCAAACACAAAAAAAAAGGTTTATTATTTTCACAGTCGGTGTTAACGAATATCATGGAATCTGGAAGAATGGGTAGTTGGATTCATGCGCGCTGGTAAGTCCTCCGGCTGGTCAACTCCTCCACTTTCACGGTCTAAAATAATAAGTTAGAGTTTGAAAGGTGTGCCGCCTCAGTAACTCAATAAAAATATGACAATAACTGTGTTGTACTAGATTAGCGGCAGGCAACAGAACAGATATTATTGCCGGAAAAGACAAGGCAGACTGGAAGGACCATTTCTGGCTTATCAGCCGTCATTGGCCAGTCATACCCCTCCTCAATATCTTCGGACGTTAACCGGCAAGACAGCAAACCCGTGCCTCAATGGTTAGAGCGTCAGAGTCTGATTGAAAAGTTCGCGGCTTCGAGCCTCGGGTGGTGCACCACTTGGGGTTGAGAATGGCTGACTGATGACGGCTAATGAGTCAGAAATGGCCTTTCCGGTCTCCCGTCTGCCTTTGTCGGCAATGCTATCTGCCTAGACTACTAGCCGCTGTGCAGCTGTTGTCAGGGCCCGATAAATGAGACCCGAGGCGAGTGGGACTGTAGTAACTAGCGCGCGTCGAAGTGAACTTTCCTGAAGACCCGCAGAAGTTGGTCTCGACGTCTGGGAACAGCCAATCACAGTTGCCGCAAAGTTGCTTTCTGTCCCGGCGGCGAATGGCAAGCCTGCACACGTGAATACTTTCTCTGTCCACTGGCCTGACTGCTGTTACACCGGCACTTGGACCTAGCTGGCCCTCCTGGCCAGTCGTGTACTCCCAAGTCAATCCTCTTCCATCTATTCTTCTCTGTGTACACAATATACTGTTCCTACTACTCTGATCTCCATCGACGTCTTCTCTACTAAGTAACCATAGTCTGAAGATCGCAGTTGCTAGGGTTTAACCTACTTAAACCCCTGCGATAGGACAAGTGAGTTTCGTTAGAGGTTAGTGAACGATCGTCAGCCAGCAGTAAAAGAATACTTACCGTCTCCAGCGCGTCGCCATTAATGATGCGGTCAATATGAGTGGTCTTCTCGCCGGCCTGCACCTGATTCAGCACATCTCCTGCCAACGTGATTGTCGACTTCACCCTCCGGCCATCAGGTGTCTTCTCCATAAAGGGCTCATCCAACCGGAAATCGAACCCAGTCGTCTTGAATTCGCTGACGGACTCCATGCGATAGCCATCGCCTCGGGCTGTGATGATGCACCTCGGTTTCACCATATTAGCCGCCTTTCGCGTGAACGCGTTGACACCCAGCCGCTGCATGACTGCG